CATAGAAAAATATATACGTATTCATGATCTCTTATAAACGTGTGAACAGTGAGGAAACTATTCAATCAATTCATTAATGCTTTAATCAGACTAGACGTCATGGATCATGTTCCACCTTCTCACCGGACGCTGACCGGACGCTGACCGGACGCTCTCTAATACAACCACAGACACAACAGAAACACAAATCGACTATAAAGAGACGCACAACGGGCACGAAGAGACTCACAAAATGACCAGAAAGGAGAAGTAAACCCATAAAAAACTATGTGACTGAAATAAACTAATCAGAGATTAGGGACATTTTATGAAGGTTTTCATCACATACAACTCAGTGACTCGATCTGTGGGGAATTAAATCATATATAAAATACAGCTGTCACTTTTTATTTGAAAGTTAATTTCAACGTGGGAGAAAAGTTTGTATTTAAAGCATTTGTATGCGTGTGGAAGTGTTTCGTTCCAAGTCGAAGATGGAGAAGTAACAAATAAAGATCTAACAACAAACCTGCACGCTGACGTGTCAGATTTCCACCAAACTGAGTCAGTGGAGGAGGCACCACGGCGAGAGGAGCAACAGCAAACTCGTCTGTGACAGAGGATGTTATGTCATGTTATGCTGGTGTATTTACAAAGCCTTGAACAACTAACACTTGTACTTCAGTTGTGTACAACTAGCAACCTTCACTTTTAAAACAGGCAGATTTAGAGAGCAAGAAATGGGTCAAGGTGATAGTGAGCGCCCTCTTCTGGATAACAAAAGTACTTCAGATGCTCTGAGACTAATAAAACTATAGAATAAAACTATAGAAACAGCGTCTTGAGGTGTGACACAGGTAAGGAGGGGGCAGATCAAAGAGACGGAGCAGAGGTGAAGAAAAGATGGAGTGATGGTGAGGATCAAACGGACGAGGTGATTAGTGTCCCATCGCTCTCAGACTTTTAAGTAACGACCTCTCCGCCAGTTAAATGTTCCATGACCTCACTCAATGAAATGGCAGCGTTCCACGTACAATAGACATTTTAATTTGGCCCATTTGAGAAGTTGGGAGGAAGGAGCCGCGATTATTTTACTTATAAATCATCTGAACAGCACCTGAGAAGTTGTGGGTTTGGGTTTCCTCTGAATAATGGAATTATGTGAGAGGGCTATATGCTCTTTGATAAATGTGTTGGAGCAGCAGACACTGTGAGGACCGGGCCAAATGAAGCTGTCTGCTCACGACTGGCGTCCCCTCACCTCGTCTGATAGTTCAATGATTTATTGGAGAAACTCTGGAGGGAGTGGGAGCGATGGAGGGGGACGATGACGAGGATCTGCTGAAGGAGGCGGAGGAGAGGAAGGAGATGATGGATGGAGACCTGAGTGAGAGCAGCGTCACTCTCATGATGGTGGATCTGTGTTCTGATTGGACACAATGCTATCCTGTTATTTTCAACACATGGACAAAACAATGTGGACACATATGTAATGTTGGGACCAGTTTGTCTCATTTTCAGAATGTCTCACATTCCGTTTGTCTTATATTCAGTTTGTCTCATTTTCAGAATGTCTCACATTCAGTTTGTCTCATATTCAGTTTGTCTCATTTTCAGAATGTCTCATATTCAGTTTGTCTCATCGATGTCAACAAGCAGCAACGTCCTCTGTCCTTAACTCAACATGTTAAAACGAGCAGAGACACTTTCTGAGCAGTAACTGAAGCTCAGAGTCACATGTGAGGATCCGTCTCCAGGACACGAGGAAAATAGATGCTGATGAACTGAAGACATCAACACAACAACAGATTCACTACATTAGAAGAAACAGTTTGTGACTTCCTGTTTAAAGTATTTGTACATGAGGACATGTCTGATAGAGATGAAGGAGCAGACACATGAACTGAGGAGTTACTGATGAAGATGAGGAGACATGTTATAAATCAACAAGTCTGGTTGTGATCATGGTCCACCATCAGCATGTGAATATTAAGACGAGCATCTATCAAATATAAAGACAATCAATGACTGGTCCACAGTTCATTTTCTGGAGCCATCTTGTCATCCATCTTTATTTAGTTTTTGTTCAGAACCTCTTTCTTTCTTTTGTCTCTTTTCTGGCTGTTTCTTCACCGGAGCTCCTTCACTACACAAGAGCTCATGGACATCAGGGTTACAACACCAGAGGATTTATTCCAAACTTTTCTTCTCCCAACACTGGAAATTTTGGACATTCTGGTCAAAGGCGCGCTCACCTTTGCTCACGCAGTGAAACGCCGGAGGCGAGGGAAATGGGCCGGTGCTCGTGCGCCTTCGCCAGTGCGGATTACGCACACACCGTTACCTGGAATATTTCTCTCTAACGTGCGCTCACTGCCCAACAAAGTGGAGGAATTACAACTGCTGTTGGGGAAAAACAGGGCCTTCTACTCATCTGCTGTTTGGTGCTTCACGGAGACGTGGCTGTGTGGATTAATACCGGACTCTGCACTGCAGCTGGCAGGATTCCAACTCTACAGAGCGGAGAGAGACACGGAACTTTCTGGCAAAACTAAAGGAGGAGGAATCTGTTTCTACATCAACAGCGGTTGGTGCCATGACACCTCCCAACAGCTCCAGCTACAGTGCATCACCTCCACCTCCCCCACCTCAGCAGGGGCCTGGGCACCTCCACCAATGCCCACCTTAAAGGTCCCCCCTTCCACCCCCCCACCCACCTCAGTGACGACTCTTTCCATCCATGAGAGGGACGTCAACCAACTCTTCAGGAGACAGAACCCACGGAAAGCTGCTGGACCGGATTCTGTCTCGCCATCCAGTAGAAGCACTGCGCTGATTAGCTGTCTCCAGTGTTCACAGACATTTTCAACACCTCACTGGAGACATGCCATGTGCCAGCCTGCTTCAAGACCTCAACAATCATTCCTGTCCCCAAGAAGCCAAGGACCACAGGCCTTAACGACTTCAGACCTGTCGCCCTGACCTCTGTGGTTATGAAGTCCTTTGAGCACCTTGTGCTTCACACCTGAAAGACATCACCGACCCCCTCCTGGACCCCTGCAGTTTGCCTACAGAGCCAACAGGTCAGTAGACGATGCAGTCAACTTGGCCCTTCACTACATCCTCCAGCACCTGGACTCCACAGGAACCTACGCCAGGATCCTGTTTGTGGATTTCAGCTCTGCTTTCAACATCGTCATCCCAGCTCTGCTCCAGGAGAAGCTCTCCCTGCTGAGTGTACATGCAGGTGGATCACTGACTTCCTGTCTGACAGGAAGCAGTGCGTGAAGCTGGGGAAACATTTCTCCGACTCCTGGACCATCAGCTCCCTCATCAAGAAAGCTCAGCAGAGGATGTACTTCCTGCGGCAGTTCAGGAAATTCAACCTGCCAAAAACAATGATGGTGCACTTCTACACAGCCATCGTTGAGTCCATCCTCACATCCTCCATCACCATCTGGTAAGCTGCTGCCACTGCCAAGGACAAGAGCAGACTGCAGCGTGTCATTCGGCCTGCAGAGAAGGTGATTGGCTGCAATCTACCGTCGCTCCAGGACCGGTACACCTCCAGGACTCTGAAGCGTGCAGGAAAGATGGTGGCTGACCCCTCCCACCCCGGTCACAAACTCTTTGAGACCCTCCCTCTGGCGGGAGGCTGCGGTCCATCAGGACCAAAACCTCACGCCACAAGAACAGTTTTTCTCATCCACTACTAGTCTCATCAACACGGCCCCGCACCCACCCTGACACTCTTTCACACGCCACCTCTGCCTCCATATGTCACATTGACACTGCATTCACTACTCTATGCGTTACATTAACGCTCAGCTTTATACTTGCATATTGGAAATACTCTGCATACTGTGAACACTTGCACATTGTACTTACTCAGCTGTACTGCTCTTCTTATTTTTTTTACCTTTAAAAACATACTGTGTATATATTTGTATTGTCAAATTTAAATTTTCTTATCTTCTTATGTTTAGAGATGCCTGACATGCACCAACAAAACCAAAACAAATTCCATGTATGTGTAAAAAACTAACTTGGCAATAAAACCCTTTCTGATTCTAAAGAGTCTTGAGATCATGTATAGTAGGATTTGGCACATTTCAAATAAAACTGAATAATATGATTTAAAAACATGAAGTTCACTCTAATTTGTAAAATGATTTGTTCAGTTCAGCGTTCACAGTTTGAACAACACTGTGCAACATGTTTGACTCAGAAGAATGTTAATGAGTCCAGGGCTGCGTTCAAATAGTCCATTTAGGAACCTTAACTGAGTGAGCTGTCTGAATTCTCTACATGAGGAAAACAGCTTCAATAGTTCCAAACTTATCTCCTTTAACAAAGGACACACTGGATCATCCTTTAGGAAAGGAAATAAGGAATTATCTTCCAACAATTCATTCAGCAACATTTAAAGTGATCCTACATCTTAGATGCACCAGGACACGCCCACATAAATACAAAATAAACAGCTACTGACCGGATCCACAACTGACGTGAATCCTCGTCTGTCTGAGCTCATGAAATCATCTTCGCAACTAAAAGAATGTCAGCAAAATGTTTTCTCCATTTCTCTTCCTCATGTAATTATATACATAATTACACGTTTCACCAGTTGTATTTTCATTTTCAATAGAATCTATCTTTGCTGTTATTTCTTTGAGTAATTATTTCCTATGAACTGAAAACATCTTTTATCAAGATGTGTCAATCGGCTAAAGAATTTACTATAACTATAATTTGACTGTAAAGTTTCTGTCTCAGTTTCAAACTTCACTGAAAAGGAACAGTGGTCAGATCGATATTTGAACACACCAAAATATGTATTCGACTGTACGACTGTCCCTGAACATATCGCTGCTATTTAGTATTTTGAACAATGAAATGTTCAAACTCTTCAGATGTTTAACACCTAACTCCGCCTCCTGCATGTATATAAATGAGGTAACCTGAGCTGTGATTGGCTGTTCCTCACGGCCTTTATTGAACTGATTACCATAGAAACTGAAAACACAGTCAAGATTAAATCAAACATCCTGAGGAAACTTTATTTAAAAAAAACAAACAAGATTTAAAAAAAGTCTATACAATAGGTGAGTGAGGGGGCGGAGCCTCTTCAGGGACGGGGCGGTGGTCTCATTCCAGGAGGGGGCGGCCCTAAAACATCAGAGCAGAGAGGTCACATGATCAGTTTCAGCTGAATGACGATTGTGTTTCAATCTGATTGGCTGTTCAGAGCCAATCAAACTCAGCTCCGACTGTTTACCTCTCATGCCGGGGGGCGGGGGCCTCATGCCTGGGGGCGGCATCCCCATAGGAGCCCCTCGACCTGGAGGCATCCCCATGGGAGGACCCATCGGGGGTCGCATGCCAGGGGGTGGACCCATCATACCTGCAGGGGGAGGAGCCAGTTTAAATCCAATAGCGTTTGGGGTGGTTTCACAAATGTCACATACATCAAGTGGGGGCGTGGCCTGTGATTTCCTACATGAACACAGCAGCACCTGAGGTGTGTCCGAGCTGCTGCAGGTAATAAACATGCAACGGTTCACTACATCTCACCTGGAGGCGGAGCTCCCCTGCCCATTGGTGGCGGGGCTCCTCGTCCTGGTGGATACTGTGTGGGGGCCCCAGCGATGCTTGCACCTGCTGCTGCCGCAGCAACTGTCCCTCTGCCCTGTGGCGTCATCACCTGGAAACACAGGAAGTCGTCATCACCTGAACAAACACACCTGAGCATATGAGGATATTGTTGCTATAGTCACCTGCTGGGAGGGACCACCCACTCCTCTGACGGGCCCAGCGAGTCCGGCCGGAGCCTGAGGCATCGGCGCTCCTGCAGGAACCCCACGACCAGCGGCCCGGCCCACACCTGGTCCCCCCGCCACACCTGCCAACGGGACTCGGGCTATACCAGTCTGAAAGGGGGGGGGGTCAGAGGTTAAAGTTTACAGACTGTTACCTTGGTTACTCAGGACAACACTGACCCCAGGTAATACTCACGTCTTTAGGGGGAGGGCCCTCTACCGTCATGGAAACAAGGTTCTCTCCCCTCAGCAGAACCAATCCCAGAACCCTCTTCTCCTCCCGCTCAGGCTGCTTTGAGTTCTTCGGCCTGAAAATCAACACTTGTTACCCACAATGCCCTAGAAACATACCTACATTCTCAAATATAATCTGACAGTGACGATCAGATCAATGAAGTTGTTTCACACATGAACTCTGGTCATGTTGTGTGGGACATGTGTGTAGTCATGGTGTGTAGTCATGGTGTGTAGTCATGGTGTGTAGTCATGGTGTGTAGTCATGTTGTGTAGTCATGTTGTGTAGTCATGTTGTGTAGTCATGTTGTGTAGTCATGTTGTGTAGTCATGTTGTCGACTCGTTCACAACAACGGGAACATTCAGGTTCGGGGTGGAGCCTGTAGAGCAGCAGGAGGCNACACACACACACACACACACACACACACACACACACACACACACACACACACCTCAGAGGGCTTCCTGAATGTTCCTCAGCTCGGTGCGTGTTTCACAGAGATAGTGGCTGCACACAACAACATTGACAAAGAATCTCGTCTCAGTGATTTTCTCCAGCGATGCCGGCTCGTTCTAACTGGCTCTCGTTAGCATCACGGGCTAAGCTCCCTCCCCTGTCGGCTGTACATGTTAATGCAGAGACAGATTACACTCCCAGACCACAGAGCGGCTCTGGATGTTCATGGAGCTGAGAACTGCTGCTGGTGGAAGTGACAGATAAAAAAAGTCTAAATGAGGAATGAGAGGCTAAAATCTGTTTGACTCTTTCTGCTCATGAACACAACATAACAGAGACTTTGTTCTTTTTAAAAATTCCCTTCAGGGAAAACGAGTTCACGCAGTTTACTGAATTTGCATGGAACAAGAAAGCAAATTGAAGCAACCACAGAGTTCAGGAACTAACATCTGTGAGCTGCTGTTATTCGTCTTCAAAGCAACATTATGCGACTGCAGCTTCAGAATCATTGTGATGCTGCACTGACTTATAACAGAGACGTTGTCCTGAACGTCTGCTCCTGCTCGATGTAGCTCTGGTTCAACAGGTTCATTAAAGTTGGTCAGAGACCTGTCAGTCAACTGAGTTGAGCATATTATTTGGGGGAGGATCCGTCCGAGTGAGCGCTCCTCACGTTCACGCTGCTCTCTGAGGGTAAAATCATTCCTCGACCTCAGGGAAGACGTCTACAATGGATACAACTAACTGTGAACCACATATTTAAAGATGGCTGACACCACTTTCCTGCAATCTCTCAGTTTGATGTCAAGAACCTAAATGACAGAGACCATCTCTGAGAAATACTTATCTGACATGTACTTTGAGCTTTTTGTTTGGGCCACACACCAGGGGGCGCTCTGTATGATTCGTCTCCACTGTTGGGAGCTATCATGTCGCCCATCTTAATTGACAGTCTATGACCTGGATCCCTTACAGCTAATAGCAAAGTCATGGTGCTAGCCCTATTAGCATGTATTGGCTCAGACAGCTAAATCAACTTTTTGCCGTCTTAAGTGAACGTCCCCCCGAATGTCCCAGAGAAGCCTGTTAAAAAATCTGAGTTTGGTCAGTTTATTACTGGGACAGAGAAAGTCTAAAATAAATAATTACCACTTGTGGCTGCAGAGGGAGCTGCAGGCAGCTAAATGAAAACGAGTGAGTAGTAAAGAAAACTTTTCAAATTAAGTTATAGTCATAACCAAAGTTAAAGATATAACTAGAGGAGACTGATATGAATTCATTCATTCACTCATGTTTGCACTGCTCATTAACCAAAAGGTACTGGACAAACTGACCTCAAGATGGCACTAGAGCAAAGTCAGAGGATCATCAGGGTTAATAAACGTCATCTTGAGGAAACTATGAACGTCTAAACCACAATGAATCACATTTAATCAAGCAGCTGCTGATACGATCGCAGAGAAGCGCTGCGACCGTGCTCGCTCCAAAAGAAATAATAGAAATAAATCAACAATAATAATAATGAGATTAATATAATAAAAGAAAAACAGACTTTTGGATAAACAGAAAAACAAGGAATCGAATAACTCATCAACATCCAGTCAAACATATTTTAATTGAAATCATAAAGAACATGCACGCAAGCACGCACACGATTATGAGCATTATTCTGACCACATGTTGTGGAGCTGTTTCCAGCAGAGCTACAGTGAAGTCAGATGGACGTGTGGTTAAAAGACAACATGGAGCCTCCTGTGGTGTCGGAGAGTTTTAGTCTCTAATGAAAACATGACTGCAGCTTTACAAACACTATGACACGTGTAAATGAAACAGGTGAGAATCACTGAGCTGACACATGAACCACTGTTCATGAGAACCTCACTTTAAACAAGGACCTTCCAGTATTTCTGATACGTTCATTTTGAAGCAGCAGATGTCCTCGTACTGTGTTAACCTGCTGCATGTTCTCTCTACTTTGTGTTGGTTGGGTTGAAGAGACACAATCTATTCATCACTAAATACATATAATCATATTTGTTTGTGTGAAGAGCGACTGAGACAAAAGCGACGCCCCGTTTATTCAGGAATTTATATATGAATTCCTAATTTGTATAATTAGGAATTTTTCAGTTTGTGTGATGCTTAGAAAACTTCAGGACCAGAGACACTGAGTGATGCCAGAGGGCTGGATCCAGAGGGGCCGCCTGGATCCATGGACCAAACAAAAACATCTCTAAGTAGATGGTAAATAAAACTTTGGTCAAAGATGTTTCTGTCATTTCAGCTCGTTCTTCTCTCACTGATGTTTGTTCAAGTGTTTCTGATCAGTTTGGTTTGAATCAGTTATTGATTATATAAAAATAGGCGGAGACGTCATGATTGACAGCTGACACTGACTTGGGACACCACGGCTCCACTTCATGACCACAAATGGCATCATCACAAGATGGCAGTGTTTGTATCTGAGGTGTTTTAGTTTAATTTCTGGAGAGAGACGTGTCTCTGTCTTTATTTACAGTCTGTGGAACTAGACCCGACCTCTGCCAAGAGAAGCTTTTACTCACTCAACAGTTTACACACAAAGATGAAGAAGACGAAGCCAGAGTCGATTCCGTTTCACCTCTGAGTCTCGAGGCTGAAGCAGAAGGACACGATCCAGCGAAATAAGCAAATACAACAGAGAGACAAGAGATCACCACTGAACATCGATCAATGAATCCATCAATTATTGTAATGTTCCAATCACAGGAAGAAAAACTCACTGAACCTGTTGTTCATTGTTGACGAGTACGAGTCAGTGACGATGTATTCAAAAAGAAAACCTCAACAGATTTCATGTTGTTCCACGACAGAAAAACAGAAAGACTGAAAACAACTGATATTTTATTGTTTATCAACTAGTTGTTCTGAGTAGAAATTACATATTTGCATATTTGCGATTATAAAGACCAAGGAAAGATTTCTGTTTTCACATTTGAGAGCGCAGAACTACTTTGGAGGCTAACAGTTACAGCCAACAGCTAATAGTTACAGT